ATGTCTGTTTGATTCAATGAAAACTTTTTGTTACCATTCTAATCAAGTTGGGTATACCGGGAATTACTCTTTGCAAACCGTTAATTAAATATATCCGTGCAAAATTAATTAAATTTGTAAAAGTAATTAACGATTCATCGAGTTTATTAAAGTGCAAATTGCATTGGCAATGGCAATGGCGATGGCGATGATGCATATTCAGGCACAGGCCCAGGCCCAGGCACTGGCACAGGCACAGGGCCAATGCCCACTTTAGTTCGTCTTGAACTGGATTCAGACTTTCACTTCAGCCTCCCCTACACCGTGATGGAGTCGCATTAAGCTGCTTTATATAATGCATGGGAGGGAGTGACGTCAACGGAGAACGGTTTGCACAGCAGACAACAAAGCCGTAAGCTGCTTATTTTTGGATGTATAGGATCAAGGCTTATACGGAGGGGATGTACTGCTGTTTCTATGTATGCAAATGCTATTTGTTGTTTTCAATTTGTGTCTTGAATTGAATCGAAGCGCGAAATTCGCATAAATATGCTAACTGAAATGTGCCCAAAAATGTTGCGCAAATTAGCATCAGCCACTAAAATGGCAGTCAACATTTGTATTAGTAATGCACCTAATAAGCTTAGCGCAAATAACTTGCAAATGTGTTCGAGTAGACCTCCAGATACTCTGCCTATACTCTACTCTATGCGCCATAAAACTGAATCGGAAATTGCACCACTGTACATAGATTGCAGAAAGATGATGGTGAAAGGACAGCCTTGCAAAACATCACATCTTCGTTAGCCCTACAAATCGACTTGATTGCTCGGTTTATAAGGCACAAAACGAAACGAAACGAAACGATTTTGGTTCATTTCAATGGCGCTAATTGCTTAATTGAAACTGTTTTTGCATCGGCAAGCAGCAGTGGCTGTGATTGTAAAGCAGCAGATCTCTCCTATCCCACACGCCCCATCGCTCGCTATTTTCTCTCCCCCTCTCTCCTTCTCTCGGTGCGGCGGCATATCGAAATGTTAATTAGTGTTTGTTTGCTAAAAGCCAAAAAGCCAGCACAAAAATTAGCTTGAACCCTCACCGCTTTCGCGTCATACGTGTCGGATACGTGATGTTCATTTTGATATATGTATGTATGTATGTATGTACATTGTGCACATACATTGTACATATTACATACATTCATGCATTCGGGACTTCAATATTCGGCCAGGTAATCAGATTTTTCAGCCTCACACACACTACGACACGCTACGGCACTGCGAGAGCACACAGTGCACACACATACATTCGCACTTTAATGGCAAATATTTATCTTTGGCTCTTTTGGACTTTATCATAATTTTGCAGCATATTTCAATAATTGAAGCGCGCTATATTTTTAATTAGTTAAATGCGCGTTTAATTAGCTTTATAAATTATGCACACTCAGCGGTTAGTTGCACTCACTCTATCCCTCTCTCTCTCTCGCTCTCTCTCTTCCTCTCTTTGCATCTGTATCTCTATCCTCACTCTATATCTGTCACTCTTCATGTCGCTCTTTCTCTTCTGCTCAGTCCCGCAGTATCCGGACATTAAACATTTCTACCATTTTGCATTTTTTTCGAAAGAGTCGTGTTTACGATGCTCTGATTCATTTATGTTTGTTTGGTTGGTTTTTTAGCTTTCATTTCAATTTTTTTGTATTTTCTACTCTTCGGAGTCGACTGGAAATGAACTCAAATGTATTTTAAGCTTTATTTTTGGTTTTTGTGACACGAACGATTGCATGATTAATGGATAAATAATTTGAATGTGAGCTGTCAACAGGACTTACAAATAATGTTCAATAGATATAAATTGTGGAAGAGCGCGAGAATCCTAGCTGTTTTTTATTTTTAAAAATCAAAAAATACTGCTCACTGACGATTTACACATTTCGAATATAATAAACCTAAACTTAATCGTAAAAAATCGTCATAAATCTTTAATACAACGAAACGGACGAAACGAACGTTGGCAATTCAAAAATTTCAAATGTCAAAAGACGCGCGCGCTTTCGGGTTGTACAACGTGACATTGCGGCTCTCCCGCTGTACAAACACAATCGCAGGCAGATAGGAGACGGCAAACCGGCTCAAACAAAGAGCTGAGACCAGCACAAACAAAGCAACCAGAATCAAGAGAGACGCCACAGCAGCAGAACTAACAGCACTAACAGAGACTAGAATTTAGAACGGGAGAGAAAGAAGGCGAAAACACGTTCCACTGACGCCGCCGCCGCTCAGTTGCATGTTAACGAGACCACAGCCGAGCAAGCAAAAGAAAGAGAAAAAGAAGTCAATGTCTGACTCGGAGACTGAGACTGAAACTAAAACGAAATTCAATTAAAAGCCAACAACATAAAAGTGTAAAAACGCTGACGAGCCAGCCTCAAAAACACAGGCGACGCAGACTTGTGCGATCATCGCACAAACACATGCGTCCCCGTCGCTGGCTGAGTGTACAGCGGGGCGTATACTCATTTTTTTCCATGCTGAGCTATCTAGAGCCGCCAGCCCGAATAATGTGTATGCGTGATGGAGCTTACAGCCGACGCAAAGGTATACTCTCTTCGCTCAAATGTACGCAACAGAGAAGCAGAAAGGCGGAGAAGCTTCAGCATTCTTTAGGTGCACTTGTTCTTGATCTTGACTCTCTGCTCAGATCTCTGATCAGATACACATATATGTATGAGCATTATACATATACTATATACAATCGCATAATGATGATATTCGCTTTGATTTATAACATTTGTCAATATCTGTGACATTATCACGGGTATCTTGTTGTCCGAGACTAAACTATCGTTTTACCATGGTTTTCTTTCTTTCGCTTGCTATCGCCCACTTTTTATTCTTTCTACACAAGAACGGCTGCAACAAAAGTCGCCACACACTTAATTTGCATATTTTTACACAGCCACAACTCCGCGCTCGTGCGTGTGTGTGTGTGAGGTGTCACGTTGATTTTTGGAAATATGTATGTGCAACCAACCAACCAACCAACCAACCAGCCAACAGAACCGTCTAAAGCAGACGGTACCACTCTTCGTATGAGTACTATTGTATTGAAAGCGCATGCTGCATGGAAAAGTCTGATGGTTTTTGTTCTGCTTGGGCTTCCGTTTGCATTTTTGTTCCCTCCATTCTCTCTGTTATTCGCTTGTTTAAAGATAACAAAACAGAATAAATTGTCATTGCAGCGCTTAGATGATAAGCAAGTCCCACGGCCAAAATAGAAAAAGGCAATGTAAGCAAGGAAATTGGTTTTTTCAGCTTCAAATTCCAAGTAGAATGAAAATGTCAACGATACAAAAATATGCAAATGAAGGATACGAAATGGAATAGATATAGCTGTAAATATATAGAAACAAATATTGGCTTGGCACGAAATCCGTGCCGTTTTTGTCAGAAGGTGAAGTGTTTCTCAATTTCTGCTCTGCTTTTAATAGACAATTTAAATCGCTAAATATCGATACAGCAGTAAATACTCCTTGCTATAAGTCGATATTTCGATCAACAGTTCTTCCAAATCGCTCTCTCAGTCTCTATCCCTCTATCTCTCTTTATCACCCCTTCTTGTTTATTGTCTCTCTCTCTCATGAATCCAACCCCGTTGGCACTATGAAATGGACCGCATAGAACCCCATTACAAATGACAAACTGTCGTCCTGAATTTACTCTCTAGATGCTATCAGTCCACCCCAGTCCTCTCGAACAATATCTGAAAGTGCTGTAAAATTGACAAAGGGCTGGTACTGCCGCCCTGTAGCCTCAAACAGCAGCTGCTGTGGCAGCGTCCTCTCGTTTTCCCCCAAAACTAAAGGCCGTCGAGGCAGCCACATACAGACACATACAGACACACACACACACACACACACCCCATTCAGGTAATTGCGAATTTGGGGGTTGAAGTAAAAAAGCGCAACAATTTGCAAATGACATATAATTCAGGTCGATAAAGTAAATTATAAAAATATCGTATATTCAGGGAACTCTCTTAGTTACTAAAGAATGAGAAGTTCTAAAGTAGATTCTATAAAGTAAGTGGACAAATGAAATGTCTTCAAATTAAATAAAAAAAAAAACTGTTCAAGCAAAACCTTTTCGACTCTTTGTTCATCGTCGTTTTCACTTAACTTATAATTCGAGAAATTAAGTAAATATCGTGAGATAAATGCATGTCAAATAAATACAGTAAATATTCTTCTGAGATAGATCTGAGGGTTGTTCGGGGAAACGAACGTTCTCCCGAATGGATTTTGGTGGCTTAAATTTACGAATAATATGATTACATTTAAATTGTATTTGTTTTGGAATATGAGTATATATAGTTGTAAAGTGCGCATATTGCAATTGAATGTTCAATGACTTGTGTAGCGAATTTTAGTATGAAATTCATAAAATTCTATTCTGTTTGTTCGATTGACAAATCGAGTGATAGCTATGGGGTACTGCTCGCATTTGCTTACACATCTAGTATTCAGTGAATAGAGTAACACGATAAGATTGAACGAAATGGTAACTTCTTCAGTATAGACTCTTCGTTGAGACAGTAGTGCCTGCGAAGGATTTTCGTGATATTTCAGTTATTTACAGTCAAAGTTCGTCAAAGCTACTCTAATTTCCTTGAGAGTTTGCGAACATTTTTCATGATTTGTTTGCTTATAAGATAATCTATTGATATTTTAAATTTTACGTTTGTTCACAAAAGTTGCTCCGTCTATGTAAATATAGTTGTATTTATGTATAAAAAATATACTCTGCAGTCTCTTGCTTGTTTTTCATATCAAATATCATTATTCTTTTTAAAAGTAGTCTTTTCTTGTTCTCGAGGATTATATGTTACTTCACAACGTCGAATATGTGCTTGTGCGTGGCTTCTCTTCCTTCAAACCACAAAATTATAATAATTCAGTTTTCACTTCACGTTAATAGTTATGAATAAATGGTATAAAAAGAATACTTAATCCCTGCTGCAAATTGCATTGCAAATCAAAAAAATACACATTGCGAGGTGTACGCTACGCTAGGGAAACTTTTCCGCAATTTCCAAGTACAGTGGCATATAAAACTAATGAGTAAGAGTAGCTGATCCTGATCTTAAGTCTTTAGGTTATTCATCTCCGCCTGCTGGCCAACGACGGTAAAGTAACTCGTAATCTTTCGATTAGTCTTGGACTTGCCATCGACCGGAGAGCCGCTGGACAAAGCATTCTCTTTCTCCGGCGTGATCTCATCGTCTTCCACATTAGCTGCGGCCTCCACTTGCATGGAGACTGTGACTGACACCTGAGCGGGAGGGACACAGCCAGCCCCGGCATCGGCTGGAAATTTAGACATGTCCAATTCGTTCTTCCCTGTGGAAGACTCTTCGGGTATGTCCGGCAAGGACCGTAGGCTGCGCTTCAGATCATTCAGTAGCTTTTCCTGGGCAGCGATCTTTTGCTGCAACTTCTCACGCCGCGGACGGCGCAGATTAGCTTTGTCTTTGGGTTCTGTTCCTTTCTCTGTCTTCGATTCTGCTTCTTTCTCAGGGATGGATTCGTTTCCCTCCTCCGGCTTGGCCTCTTTTCCTTGTCCCGTCTTTGTCCGTTGTGGCTTCTGCGAGCCTTTGCCATGCTCGCGCTCTTGATGACGCTGAAGATTCACACGGGAGGAGTAGCCACGCTGACAAGACTCGCAGTTAAAGGGTTTCTCGCCTATAAAACCATATTCAGTTCCGAGTGAATGTCTAATATTATAGTCTACTCACCTGTATGCTTGCGCATGTGCACTCGCATGTCAATCTTCCTTGCGAACCGTTTGTCGCAGAGCTCACACTGTACCGGCTTGTCGCCTAAATGAGTACGTCGGTGAACCACAAGATTCTGACGAGCTCGGAAGGCCTTGCCGCACAGATCACAAGCATAGGGCTTTTCTCCGGTGTGAATTCTCACATGGATGGCCAAGTCGGAGCTTCGCACAAAGCCTTTGTCACATTTGTCGCACTTGTAACGCCTGTCGTTCTTATGATGACGCATATGCAGTGATAGATCTTGTTTGGTGGCCAAGGGCATGGAACAGATCTCGCATTGGTAGGCCTTCTCAGTACGATGACGCAGCTTATGCTCTGCGAGACGCATCTTCAACCGAAAAGCTCTTCCGCAATGATTGCAAATGAAGGGTTTCTCGCCCGTGTGGATTCGCAGATGATCTTGCATGCGTGAGAAGCGCTGAAAGGTCTTGCCGCAAAAGTTACAAGTGTGTATGGGTCTACCAGTGCTCTGAGACTCCTCTATTGACTCCCGTTTAATCGACGCCAGGCTCTCGTCGCTCGAGCTGTTATGCGGCGAAACTGTGGCAGAGGATCCCTCAGACTCCTCTTCGTTTTCGTCTTCGTCTTCCTCATCCTTCACATCCATCACATAGTCGACAAAGTTTCGAGTCTTGCGCATGCGTCGCTCGCTTGGCTCCGTCTCTTTTTTGATCTCTTTCTCTGTCTCCGAGGGCGACGGTGATAATTGTTTGCAAGCACGCTTCCGCTTGGGTGGGTTAGTGGGCTCCTGGGTGAAAAACGAGAAACAAGAAGAATAAGAATTCTAATTGCCTTTATACCTAGATTCAAACTCACCTCTGGACGCTGCAGCGGATCTGGCACTGCTTGGTCTGGCTTCTCCTGATTCTTTTTTTCTGGTTTCTCCACGCTTTCTGGAGATTCCTGCTCTCTTTCCTTTCGTTGAGTCTTTACCTCCTGATCCTTACATTTTTTGCCCCGCTTGGCCACACCTGGCAGCTTAATAATCATCTTGTTGACCTTGGGAGCGCAGTTCGGCTTGCCCCTCTCGGCTGCCATTTTGGCTACCATGGCGTTTATTATATCGAGATCATCTTTATCGGTGCACGAGCCAGTCCCCGACGGTTCCTTGCCATCTTGTTCGGGCGGTGGGGTGTCCGGTGCTGGGATGGGCAACTGAAGCTGCTGACTGGACTTGCTCATGGCTATAGCAGCAGGTATGGTCACCATAGCTGTGGGTGGCACCTCAGTGGGCTCCTCCTTAGGCACGAGCAACTTGAAGAAGCCATGCTGCTCGCTCAGATGATGCTGAAAGTGTTTCACATCCACAAACTGGGAGTTGCAGGCCAGGCAAAGCTGCAACAGGGATTCCCCTTGTATGAGCAGCTGGGCACAAGGCTTCAAACAGCCTACATTCAAGGTGGACAGAATGAGAGGAGGCGTTGACTCTATTCCACTAGGGGAAACTTTGCTTCTGCCACGCTTGCGCTTGACCTGATGGCAGTCCTGCTCAGAGTGCTCCTTCTGGAAGTGCCGGGAGAGAGACAGTCCGTCGCCGTAGTGGTTGCAGCAGCGCGTACATTTGTAGAAGAAGCGATACGACTTCTCATCTGCCAAAACCTGAGCGGCGACCAGAGATGATGCTGTGGAGGCCTGGGGGCTGCTCGATGTTTTCTGTTTTTTTTTGTTGCCAGTTCCAGGAGGACGTCCACGAGGTTTTCGGGACGCTGCTTTGTCATTCGTTTGATTCTGCTGCTGATGCTGCTGCTTCTGCTGATTACCGTTACTGACCTGCGACTTTGTTGTTGTTGCTGCTGTCTCTGCTGCCGCTGCGGCAGCCGCTGCTTTCATATCATCCAAGCGTATGCGCTGGGCCTCCAATTCGGCCTCGTCTTCGCTGTCAATTTGCAGAACGACATCGTCGGGATCATCAAGCAAATCGTCATCTTCCTCCAACTCGGACTCTTCCGAGTCTTCGTTGTCACCCAACGCTGCCGCCGCAGTCGACGACGCAGCCACCGCGACGGAGTCTCCATTTGTTTTTTTTGCTGTTTTCAGCACTGACGGCATCGGCACCGGAACATTGGCCATTTTTAGCAACTTAAACACTCACTACCCAGTTTGTATTTGTTTCAGCTTGCTTTTCTTTTAAAAATTAAGTGGAGTGTAGAGTACAAATTAACAACAAAAACTGCGGCGCAGCATTGCGAGCCAAATAAATCCACCGACGCCGCTGGCAGCAGATTTTTTTCAATGTTGCTCTTGCGCTCTCTCTCACTGTCTCTCTGTATTCGTTCTCTTTTGTTCTTTGAGCGCGCTTTGTATTAATACATACCTACCCTTGGCGTTGTGTGCAGAAAAGTATGGCTGTGTGTGTGTGTGTTGGTGTGCGTCCGCTTGATCGCTGTTCTGTTTGCAACCCTGTTCACTTTGAGGTGGAAAAACATAGAGCAAATCATCGATAGTAATCTAAAAGCGATGTCTTTAAACATCGATGTTTCTCCACCTCTACTTTACTTTACTTGAATATTGGTGCAAAGACGGTTGAAATTTAAAAACCAAATTCAAAGTCAATATAAAGCGCAGCTGGCGCCCACTAATGCCGTTTTGATGGATACTTCGATTTTGACCCACGTTTTTTTTTTGTTTTCTGACAAAAACAACTATTTGTTCATGCTTCTCACGCGCTCAATTGGCACGTTTTTTAGCTGCCTTTTGCTGCCAATGCATTTTCTTATTATTTCGCCCTCTTTTGGCACTACTTTCGTGGCTATGTACGAGTATACAAATGTATGTACATGTACATATGTACTTATGTATGCTATGCTATTGTTGGCGCACATTTTCGTTACGGCGGCAACATGTGCAAAAGTCAATTTGAAAATTGCGGCATGGCATCTGCTCCACACCGCCCATAGGCAGGGCAAAGTGGTACTTTGTGGTTATACGTTGCTTTTTGTTGGAACGCCTAGTACCTATGAACAGCCAGCGGCGACGCGGACGCGGATGGGGATCCGGCCGCGACCAACAACAGATCCCACTAGGAAGGGAAGTTGTTTATACTGTTTTTAATAACATTCAACACTTTGGTGGCAAGGCACCATGTGTGCTATGCATTTTATAAATGACTTCTTTGTTTTTTTTTGATTTGTTAACGCACGCTGTTTGCATTTAATGTATTAGTTGAACTTTGAGCAAGTTCAACGTTCAACGGAAGGGACTGTAAATAGATCACGAAAAAGAGTTCTCAGCTGCGATTAAATTTACTGCATTTTACTATACTACTATGCATATAATTTAATTTCAAAGGAAATGTGATATTCGTGAGATTCCATCGTTGTCCAGCTCTGCCATTGTCACCAGATACGCTTTTTGTGAGGGTGGCACGGGAAAGGAAATGAAATATTTGCAAACAAATAGACACACTTATTACTTCTTAGGTCCGGGCTGGTCTGGTCTGGTCTGGTTTTGTTGTTGGGTTGGTTGTTGGATGTGGGATGTTGGATGTTGGATGCTTCTGGCGCGTGTTTCGTTTACTTGTGCGGAAGATGTCTTCATGTCGGGGTTTTTCCTTTTTATTGTTGTTTTGCCTTTAACTGACATGCCCCAATTTTTCTTCATTTCGGTTTTCGTCTGCGCAGGAAGGCCAAGGCACAGACGAAGATAGAGCCCCCAGTCCTGGTGAGATGGATGGGTTGTCTTGCTAATAATTTAACAGTTACTCGTAGTTTTAATACGCTGCAGTTGTAGATGATGGCAGATTCGTTGAAGTCTGACGGCTCCTTCGCATTGTTACTGTGTTAACGGTGGGGCATGATCTTAGGCATATCCTGGCCAACATCATTTTTCTTGCCTACAGCTAAAACAAAAAACATTACAATTTTGACATGCGTTTAGGTCGGAAAGAGGCTAACAACAAATGTTTTTCCGTCCCTTTTGCTACACACGGGTACGGTTACGGGTACGGATACGGGGATTTCGCAAAAACCTAAAAACAGAAAATGTACTTGCATGTTCGCTCGAGCAAGAGTTTAATCAGTTAAACAAAGAGCAGGCAAGCAGGCGAGCAGGGGATCAGGTGAGCAGGTGAGCGGGAGAGCAGGTGGAGTATGCACAGCCACAGCACAGGAAAAAGTGCCAGACAGACCCATAAGTTACCAAAGTAACCCCAAACCCCTTGACATGGACCGGACCCGAGTCCAATGGGAGGCATAGGTAGCATTTAACGCCTGTCTTGACGATTCCCCTGGCAATGTCTTCCAGCCACAACTTCAAATATAAAGTTGCTGGGCCTGGGAGAAGCACCCTTCTCGCCCAGCCGCCCAGCCGCCTTCAGCCCAGCAGCCCAGGCCAGGCAAATGTATGTACGTACCAGTCACAATAATGTTTCAAGGCCGCTTTGCCCCCAGCGTAGACATTGAGGAGAAATTTAAACGGCAATTTGGTGCCGTGTTTACCAACCCCAAGGACAACGAACGACGATAGCTCCCAGCATCCAAAAATGTGGGCTGAAGTTTTTCTTCCCCCCTTTCTCCTCTCTTTTTTTGTTTGGTGCGGGGATAAACTGCTTACGTGCCTCGAAAGCCATAGAACCAGGCTCCCGCCTCGCATCCATCCAGCCAAAAAAAGAGCGTTTGGTTGCTCCTGTTTTTTTGTTGTTTTTGTTGTTGTTTTTTTTTGTCTGCTGGCAGGCTTGTCACCATTACCATCGGCCTGGCCTAGGCACGTCACTTTTCGTTGCCTGAGCTCTTCCCTCTTTTGGTTGGTGGTGGCGGCGGTGGCGGCGGGGGGAGCACAAATCCACAAAACGCACAACGTGCTCCCGTCGCATCGCATCGCTCTGTCTCCCTCTCCACATGCCCCACCAGCACACTAAGACGGTAGCCCCAACATAAAGTGTGTTTAACTTTTTGTTGTTTTGCTGTTTTGTTGTTATGGCGAACGCCCAAATATCTCTGGCCCGTCTTGGCTTATGCTCCTCATGTTGTGGCCGTGTGGTGTGGCGTGGCGTCCTCACGACCTTTAGTATATTGACTAGTGGAAAATTTGGTGTCCATTTTGTTTTTGGCTTATGGCTTGCGGCGAATGTTTTATGCACGACGCACTTACACTTCCACTTTGCGCCTTGTTTATTTTCTTTAGCGCTTCCCCCGCTTCCCCCGCTTCCCCCGCTTTCCCCTCTTATACGATGCACTTCATTTTATTGTTGTGCCAAGCTCCGCTTGGGGAATCGAATGCGAAGTGTGTCCATGTCCCTGGGCTCACGAATATGAGCTGGCAGTTCATCAAGTCAAGTAGTTAGCGGCCCAGCAGCCGCAGGGCCTGTCCAACGAGTTTTCCGTTTGCGTCAACTTAAAGAACTTACATTTTTCCCGAAAAGTTTTTACTTAATTCGGCTCTGGAAACACACCAATGCTTATCATGTCAATGGAGGAGATGGTAATCAGTATTCAGTACTCTCCCACAATCCTGAAACAGCCCCAGAGATTCTGGTCGTTGTGCATCAGATTTAAATCGACTCCCTGCACTCGGCTTAAGCTCGATGTAAGCTGGCCCATAATTATCTCAAGTCAATTGAAAATTACAAAAAAGCTTAAATGTTGAGCTGCTGTCGCAGGGGAGAAGCTTCCGAACTACTCGGCCCGCCATATGGCGAACGATGTCCCAGCCCAACCCCAACCCCAACCCCGACCTGACATCAAATGTGATTTCATTTTCGTTCCGTCCGCCTCCTTGTGCATCATCAATTTAATTTCGTTAGCTGGCAGAGCGTTGCTCAAAAAGTGAACGTCCGTGGGTTCGTTCATGTGGGTGTGAAAATGCCTGCCCACTCCTTGAGGACTTCAAGGGACCCGCAGGCAGGCTTTAAGCCCTCCCGCCACCCACCTCACAGAAAAAGGGTGTGAAACGAAACGTGTGCCATTTTCACCGTTTGTTCAAGCCATCCAGCATGCGGCTTATCTTCAAAATCTTGTACTATGCCACCGGAAAGGATTGCCGCATCAACAGTTGCCTCCACTCCATCACTGCAGCCGACCCGACTGGGATTGCTCGGTGCTGACTCACTTTCTTTAACTCCCATCCGGCAAAGAGTACACTCCACCTTTAAGGGTTGGGTTGCAGTCGTCACATGGTCGAGGTGAAGCTTTTAAAGAAACAAGCACTTCGTATGTACATTTCCTATAGATCAGCAACCCCCAGCAATCCCCAAATAGTATTGGTTATCTAACTATGTATCTATCTGAGGGATGACTGACCATAAGCTTGGGAGTTTTTTGGAAAATTGATTTGATACGTATGATTGTTCACTTTTTCATTAAAGAGAGACAATCCGAAGAATGGGGGAGATGTAAAAAGTATACGAGTGTGTGTTTATGTTTATTTTATTTTTCGCTTTGTACATTTCAGACCGTGCCAATCACAGCGACCCCACAATCGAAATCTGCCGCCGCTGTCCGCCGGACTACGAGGCAGAATCGTTACCTTCCTACACCATAGTCTCCGGCCTTCCCACCTACGATGATGCTTTGGAGGAGTTCCGGAAGGCAGGCATCCTACTGACTCCGTCTGTAGTGCCCATCATCAAGATATTCGAGTGCAACGACAATGGCGGCGGCAAGGAGCAGGCCGTGGGATACAGCCTGGTGGAGACGAACGCCAACGGCGATGGCAGTGTCGACAACATTTCGCTCAACTCGGCCACCTGCAACTGCGGCAATGCCTCGCCCACCTCCACGCTGCCCAGCTACAGTGCTGCCACAGCGGCCGCCATGGCCTTGGCGGCAGCTGCTGTTCCTCAGGTCATCGAACTGTCACCAGACCACCTGGCCTCGCTCTCCCAGAAGCGCCTCTCGCTGCAGATCTCATTCAATAATTCGGTTAGACGGCAATCGACGCGCTCAGGTGCCGCCTTGCGGAACAATTTGCTGCGTTCCCGGGCCGTGGGCAACACGGCCGGAATGGGTCCCATCGAAACCACTGTTACCGTGGCATCTGGACAAGGGCGTGAGGCCGGGCCCCAAATATTGCCCGCTCTGCATCGCTCCTCCTCCACTCTGTCGCTCTCGAATGAGCGCCAGCTGCTGGATCATCGCTTGCGGCATTTGCATCATCGCGGCTCGTTGTACTGAGTGTGGCGTCTGAACATTTCTCAATTATTTTTTTTGTTTTTTTTTCTTATTCCCTACTCAAATGTACTCGTTGCACGTATCCACTGTTCTTAGACCTAAGCCATAGAGACAATAAAAGAAATGCCCTTTTTTTATGAAGGTATTTGAAAAACGATCGCTGTTGTTGTCCACCATTGATGGATAGGACATGATATACTTGTTCATTTGCAAGCTAATTTATTGGAAGTGTAATTGTAAGCCAATCAATAACGGACCAGACCGAGTTGTCTTGGCAACAATACACTTTATTTATGGAAGCCAGCTTTTCCTTTTTTGCCACCGTTTCAAAGTTTGTTTATTGGCAAATATGAGCGGTACAACACGCACGGGTCTCGTTCCGACGCCCAAGAGACATGTGAAATTCTTCAAAAGGGTAAGGGGACTCAGAAAATTCAGAGATAATACCAGTAGTTCTGCAGCAGCTATTGTTAACAGCGTAAGAATTATCATGCTGATGATTCGCGGATGCTCAGATTTGAGGCCATTCCGATGCCACTTTCGCTGCGACCCTTCGGCGGACTGTTCAATCCCTTTGCCAAGGGCTGCTCCGTGCTGTGCAACCATCCAGCGCCATCCGGTGTGAAGGATGTCATAAATCAATTGAAAACATCTCTGGCCATCGAAGGAAAAAATCCCCAGTGTGGCAAGGAAAAGCCAGGGAAAGTGGCTGATGAAGACCAGCTAGAGCCGCACGAAACGGACAACATCCCCGAAGATCTATTCCGGCGCTATGCTGAGACGGATTCCCGTCCAATGACGCCAACTCCAACGGTGACCAGTATCCACACAAGGACCAGTGCTGGCTCCTTTTACCGTCGTTGCATCACCCCCGAATGGGGCAAGCACGAGAACATCAAGAGAAAGAAAATCATATTGGATCTCAGGCGATCGCACTCCCAGGAGACGCTGTACTGGAAGCCCAGCTCGGAGCTCACCCAGAGCGGCTTGGAGGAGGATAAAAAGCCCAGAAGCGCCGGGGCCAATGTCCATGAGGACAAGAGGCCCAGGCGACAGCAGTCCAACGAGCAGCGACCCAAGTCATCTCTGGCCACCGCCAACCTAGCACCAGGAGTGGATCCCATCGGTGGGCTGGAGGGCGAGCCCAAGACCTGCATCAATGAGCACGAATTGAGCGACGAGGATGTGCGCAGGGGCAAAAAGCGCAAAAAGTTAAAGCCAACTCAGGGTATGTGTATCCAGTCGGGGAATCCATAGTGTGTGTTATTTTCAGAGCGTACTTCCCTTTAGCCACCACCACCTTTCACTTGAGCGAGGATCCGGAGACACAAGTAGCCGCCCTGGGACCAGACTCACTCAATCCCAGCACTAGACCCAGTCTGATTCCCAATTCGGTGAGTCTGCTGCCAAAGGATAAGCGAGAGAGTGAACGGGAGCCGATCCTCCTGAAGGGAAGTTTCCTCACAGACGAGGCCTTTCAGGCCCTGAAAACCGATTTGGATGTCGATTTGATAGAGAATACTTTTGGCCGATATGTATGTACATACAATACTGGTTGTGCTACCTATGTAGGTCCATATATACACGTTTATTTTGTCTATAGCTCAATCGTGCTCTAAGAGAAGCCATCAAGTATATGCCCCCCAAGCACAAGATTGTTCAAAAGGCCCCTGAGGATAATCACTCCGCCGAAAGTACGTCTAAGATGCCACGCAAGTTCTCCAAATCGGCCACAAGGTTCGATGTGCCCATGGATCTCTCCGTGATAAACGGTCGGTTAGAGATAAGCCCTTTGAACCCAACTCCATCTAACTTGAGTCCTCCCCAGCCATGACCCCATGGGATTACTTGAGCAAATACGTGTGGGTCTCCCAGCAGCGTAAGCAGCTCTACAAGCGCGTCTTTCTTAAATATTTGAGCCGTTGCGAAGAGCCGGAGAGCGACCTGCCCGCCATGGGCATTGATGACATGGCTCTGACGGAATATAGGTACAAGGAGCGCACACTGCTCTGGCAGAGCTTGCCTCAAGCTCTCGAGGATGTTCTAGAGTTTCACGGCACCGAGAAAAATGTTCGTAATACACTCAATATGCTGGGGTATGAGCATGACCAGAAAGGAACCGTTGAGTTGGACTTTCGTGCCTGGTGCGGCATTGTGTCGTTTGCTGAACGATTGGCGCTGGCCGATGATTCAGGATCGGATGATTCATGCGACGAATTGGAAAAAGCGGATTTCAACAGTATGGAGCAGATAATGCACCAATTCAATGTGCCAGACAAATTGGCTAAAATCTTTAGTGTAATTCGCAAAACGCATAAAATAAAATATTAAATTTAACGGTCGGAAATTGCAATTCGCTTGGTATCGATGTACCACAGTATCGATTAGTGTATCGATGAATGAACTAATAATATCGTGCGTTAATGGGGGTGAACTGGTTCATGGAACGAGTTTTGTTAATCGATACATGCAATGTTGTTAAATATCAAAATAAATTGAATTAAAATTAAATTAGTTTTGATGGGAGATGTAGCGTTCGACTCTCTTTTGGTCGCGACACGTCTAAAGTCAGCCCAGAAGCGCATTTTAATGTGTTCGTGTAAGCCGGTTAGAGCCGAACGCCTAGGCCCTCTGGGAGTTGCCGCAGAAAATTCTGTGGGTACGTTTTCCCTGTATGAACTGATACATCCATATACTGTATGGTTAGTGCACCTTAAAGCGTTCTAAACATAAATCGATATCGGTTCATTTGCACCATCTGGTTCAGGAAATATAACAAAATATATGTTTTATCATCCCTATAAATTCTCTAATTCAATTAAAATCACAAACATTACGCCATGGCCACTTTGGAGGATAAATTATTAGGAGAGAAGCTGGAGTACTATTGCAGCAGCAGCGAGGGCGAAGACAATGACCACGATGGTGATGATGAGAAAGATGCAGGCAGGAAAGGAGCCGCAGGAGGCCTGACTATTAACACGGATCCGGATGCAGCACCTGCGGGGGGCTTTCGTCAACAAGGGTCCACCAATACCGGACCCAAGGGTGTTGTCAAGGATTGGCAGCGTTTCAAGCAACTGGAAGCCGAGCGTCGCGATGAAACGGAGCGTCAACGTCTGGCCCTGGCCAAAAAACTGAGCATGACTACGGCCACAACCGCTGAAGATGAGGAGCGCAAGCGTCAGGAGGAATTGGACGACGAACTGTCGGAGCTGATGAGCGAAGACTTCTTGCAACAGTACCAGAAGCAACGCATGGCCGAAATGCTCCGTCAAACGGGACACAATCAACAGTTCGGAAAGGTGCAGCAACTGAGCACCCACGGGGAGTTTCTGGCCTGCGTGGAGCAGGAGAACAAGCATACGACAATCATCATACACATCTATGAGAAAAGCCTGGCGGCCTGCAGTACGCTTAACAAGTGCCTTGAGAGCTTGGCCAGCGATTATCCGTCCATTAAGTTTGCCAAAATATGTAGCTCTGTGGCCGGAATGAGCAGGGACTTCCGTACAAAAGGACTTCCGGCCCTGCTGGTGTACAAAGCCCAGGCGGTAGTTGGAAACTTTGTGCGCTTAACCGACGATCTGAGCGACGACTTTTTTGCCTCCGACGTCGAAAGTTTTCTCATCGAACACGGAATCATAGTGGATAGGGCTCTATACAGCTAAGAGATCTAACCAAATCAAAATAACCAAATATGTGTTCTTAAGGATAGCATTTAGGAGAGAACTTAAGCAAGACGCGCCCGCAAGTTGTATGCAATTTAAATGTTTATTTTTCCCATTCAATAATTAGTTACATTATATGTATGATTCTTTTCTCTTTCTTTTTTGTGTACGGGATATTAGGTGCAACTTTCACGAAATCAAAATAGAAAGAAGAAAAAAATATATATAAAAAATATTTGAGAAATCTATTCGAATCTTTTCAGATTGAAATTTTATGGAGCAGATCCTGTACACTTACGTAGCATATATGTATATCTGTATCCCTCCTATTATTAACAATACAATTTATATAATACATGTTTAATTATATTTAGTGGCTAATGAATGTACTTCACTCCGATTCGTACTCTGTAAGATTTATACATCCATATACACATAGATTGTATATTTTATAGCTTATAGCCTACCATACACAGCAATAAAATGATGTGGATATCATAGGTTGTTTTTTTTTTAGCCTAGTCAACAAATTGGTGTTTTTTGGATTTCTCATTCCTTTGTTTTCGGCAATGTTTAGCGCTCTAAGTTTATATTGTACATATAAATATAATGGAACGTTTCATACTATGTATGAAGAGGCCAAAGAAATTATTTTTTAATTTTCAGCTTCTTTAACCAACAATAAGTCTACGTAAATTCAAATCAACACACACATAGTGGCCAAACACAGCGAGGAAAATGTTACATCTCATCTCTCTTTTTAACATTATAAAGAATTTTTCATTGTGTTTGAAAAGTTCTTCAAGCTAGAGAGAGGGCAAGTGGAATTTTGATGTGAGCAGTCCAGGGTGACTTGCCATGAACCGCATACTTGGTTTTGATCTAAAACTACTACTAGTCGTAGAGGATTCGCTGAGTTCTATACAGCATGGAATTATCTTGGTTGTTGTTGTTGTTCTTGTGGTTGTGGTTGTTGTATCTATTTGATTGTTCCGCGGTGGAGCAGTGCCATCAAATCGTATAATACTTATGTACATAAATAAATGTATTGCATGCCTCTTGGACACACAGACACCTACATATGTATATTGTGTATATATGTATGTTTGTACACATAGCAATATATAAACGATGACAAAATTCAAATATTGGCATTACACATTGTTCTCGTTAAGCAGTTACAAGTATAATTTGAAAACGCTTATTCAGATTTAAATGCTAACATATGTTGTTATAATCCTTTCAAGAATTATTGTAGAGGTAAAATATATATTCGATTGGTTTGCTCTGCTTTTCTCACTTATTCGTATCAAAAATGTATGTAAATCTGTTATGTGGCTTTTGATTGAGTTTTGAGGAGCTTCATTCAATTGATTTAATTCGATTTGAAGAGCTTAGACATTATAATATTGGAATTATATTCAGTTAGGAGAGCCAGTCACGAAATCGACTGGCTCGATTGTTCAGATGATATATGTATGTATCTATACGAGTAGTTTAGACATGCTTCTTGCGTCGTTGTTTCGGTTTGCGATCAGGTGTAAAGTTTTCGTTTGACAATGATTAAGTTTCAGTGAGTTTCCTTTTGGTAACAACAGAATATCAGAATCGAATCAATCAATTTACAAACAAAATGAACGTTCACTAAAATTTGGCAATTTTTTGCAATGTATTGTTAGTTTCAGTTATAGTAGATATTGGTTTTGCTTCCAGTTTTGTTGGTTTGTTTAACTAAAGAAAATCAGCCTTTTCTTGCATACACAATAAATATATATAATTATCATTATCTAATATATGAGATGTATGCATGTATGTGCTTAAGTTGGAAGTATACATACGCACAGATGCATACATACATACATATATAAAAAAAATTTGTATTTTCTAATGTAAAGTTTCAATTTAAAATCGTTAGACCTAAACCTAGTTGTAGCTGTTGAGGGGATGAGGTGTCGGTATCGGTATCGGTATCGGTATCGGTGTCGGTGTCGTTGTCCTAATCCTCCCCCTGATTCTTATCTTGTTGCTAGTCCTGTTCCTATTCCTGTTCCTGTTACAGCCGGGGCGGTTTGAAGCTCAGTGTAGTGCTGCACTCGACCCCCAGCTGGTGCTCCAGTGTGTCCATCCTCACGCCGTTTCCATCACTGCCGCCACACTCTGCTATGGAATTCCGCACCGACGACGGCTGCTCGGCGGCCGGCAAAAGGCCCACCATCAGAAGCGGCCTGTTCAGTGCCTGATTGACGCTGGCTGATGTCCCCATTCCCGGTCCAGATCCGGCGGTCAACTGATCACTGCCCAGGCTATTGCTACTGTTGCTCTGACTATTGCCGCCGATCTGCTTCTCCTTGTTCCGTCGCAGCGAGGATCGGTACTGGCGTGGCACATTAATGAGCAGGCGCCGTGTGGGATTGTGCTGGCCGCCGAGACTGGAGTTGACGTTGCTGGCATGGGGACGACGGGAGGCATACTGTATGGACTCGGCGCTGTTACTCAAACGGATGTTGCCAACTGATCGAGTTAGAGCAGGGACAGAGAAGAGAGGAAAATAATATTTATTGATCAGTATCGTTTGATTCAGCGACAGGAAATAAAAGATTGTTGCTTGTTCTTGTGGCGGTTGCAATGCAAGTTGCCGTCGTAATGATTGATTTGATTGTTGCTGCCGTGATTGCTGGTTGGTTATGTTTGGGGCGATCCGAAAACAACACAGAAACGAAGACTCATATGAACAAAAATCCGAGAACAAGCGAAGAGACACAAAACTTGGTTAGTACACAAAACAAATTTTTAAAAACCACAATAATTACAATATATTGGTGTACATATGTATGTATGTGTGTGTTTATAAAGTGTGCCACATATAAAACAACACAAAAAGCTTTCAAAGTTTCTCCTTTGGTATACACAGTATAAATAAATACATTAATTTATTAATAAAAAAAGCAAACACACAAAAAGCAAAAAATAATGGAAGTGATCGCTACATACACAGACAAGGAAACTCCTTAAAACATTACACAATGTTTAAACAGAATAATAAATTAAACAACTAAATTAAAACCAATATTTAAATAGTAAATTACAAAATTAAGTAATACGGTTGCAAGTAAGTGTTATTCAATACTCGAAAATTGCTTGCAACGGGGAAATCGGTTAACATGTACGGGAAATCGGTTTATGTAAAGAGAAGCCCAGGATATGATTTATTTTCTCCGACTTGTTGGCTTCCATTCGAATAAACGTTCAACTCCACATGGATTGCATGTCCGTGGCATTTTTTTAATTCCTCCGAAGTAACACACAACAAATATAAATAAATTAGTTTTCGATTTCTGGATCGTTTAAATGTATGTATGTATGTATGTATGAATGTATGTATATATGAATGTACATATAGCATTAGTATGGTCATAAGCAAAAGTCATTATCTTCAAATGGATTCAAATGGATGCAATTGGTAGCCACAAAACACAAGACATTCCATTTTTGTTTCTCTCCTTATCCTCTTCTTTTTTAAAACAAAAAATCTAAAACATTGAAAATGACAGTGGCAAAGTTGTTGTTGTTACTGCTCGTGTGGTTGCCGTTGCTGCTGCTGTTGTTGTTGTTGCTGAGCCGACTGACACTACGCCGGGAAAGGGGCATTGTGGAGGAGGACTGCTCCTCAAAGGATTGATACAGTGAGGAGCTGTTGCTGACCAGTCGCTGCCGCTGCCGCTGCTGCTGCCGCTGTCGCTGTCGCTGACGATGAAGCTGTCGTGGCATAGACATGGGCGTGGAGTGGCGCAACAGCAGCAGCGACTGGCGCGGCTCCTTGTGCTGCTGCAGCTCATGGGCCTGCAGTGTGTGGAGCCGGCCCCCATCCAACGAATCGCAGTCGCTGTCCTCCTCAGCCAGAACAACAACCGCAGCAGCGGTGGCAGGTCGGTTGGTGGTGCTGCTGGTCAAGCATTGTGTCGAGTAGTAGCATGAATGGTTGAGCGGTTCGTGTAGAGAGAAGGCGTGTCTGGGCACCGCCAGGTGGTCGCTGCTGTTAGTGTTGGTGAGTCCAGCGTTATAACTACCCGAATTGACATCAAGCAGCAGGCGACGGGGCTGCTGCTGTTGTGGATGCAGATGCAGATGCGAGTGCGGATGCTGCTGAGGGGGCCTTAGAAGGCCTTTGGAATGTATATGTTGCTGCTGCTGCTGCTGCTCCCTCTGATGGCCGTAGCTATCTTCGGTGTCCATCATGTCGCCCCAGAGCTGCTCCTGTGGGGATTCATGCTCCTGCTGCTGCCTGCGATAGAAGTGATAGAGCAGCGCCGCCTGGTTCCGGTCCCCGTCCGCATGGGCCTGGCGCATGTCCCGGGTGCTGCCGCCACCCAAGTAACCAGCGGCGGCGGCAAGGCAGCAGTCGCTGCACGTGTCCGCCGGCATCTGCAGTGAGACGACCGCATCCCGAGGCCCCAGGAACCACTCGGAACGGGTGCGCATTCGGGCGGTTTGGCGTTCATGGACCTAACATTTCAGTTTTTCGGTTCGGTTTTGCACACATTTTTTCGATTCGGTTTTCATTTGTGGTTGTTGTTGTTGTTGTTGTGTTGTTGTACAGTTGTTGTTATAGTTGTGGGGGAAGACGTGGGGGGGGATTCAAAATGATCACATTAGAGTTATTGGCAATTAAGAATGTTCTTTTCTAACTATCGGAATTCATTTTTTCACTTAACTATAAATTACTTTAAATACAAAAAAAAACAAAAAGAACCAAAAAGTTTAAGAAAAAACCAAAAATGTATTAAGAAACGAAAAGACTTTAACAATATTTTAAATTTAAATTATGCAATGTATGTTTTTATGTAAATAAAATATAGCAGAATCAGCGCAGTGGAAAAAAGTGCAGGATTGTCAATATATGTACGTACATACATACGTATTTTTGTAAAACAGGGAAGGGAAAAAAACCATACATATAGAAGCACTAGGGGTATTTTTGCAATCATAGAAAAGCTGCACAC